TTTTTTCTGGTTTTCCCTTGATTTTATCTTGATTTTCCTCAGAATTTGCCACTTTTACTGTCTCTTTTCTGATTTTTTTGGAGGGTGTCTACTGATCTCGGCCCCGCCACGCAGTGCTATGTATACGCACCTCGGCGATGAGCCGCTGCAGCTCCGAGTTCTCCTGTACAATCTTGCGGTACTTCTCCTCGTCCTCCTTCGAGCCGACGTCCGGGTTGTACTTGGACTCGGCGTGGTCGCTGGGGTGCCGGATGACCTCGATCACCTGAGCAGGAGGGCGAAGAGGTCCCAGAAAGGGGAATGTGGAAATTGTAAAATAAGTTGTAAATGAAAATAGCTGGTAAATTAAAATTTATGCAAAAACATGTTGATTCAGTGTTGGATATTTTGAATGTTCTGCTTACCTTTGGAACGAATATGAGCGCCATCGAGAGGAAACAGCAGAAGATGACGGCAAGGGCGACGAAGGCGAACACGGCGTCCTGCTGGGAGGCGATGACCAGGGTGACGGGGGCCGTGATGAGGCACAGCACCACCACGTTGTAGATGGACATGCCCACGTAGCGAGAGTCGTTGATCTGCTTCACCTTGATGGAGCGGGTCTCGTAGGCGAGGAAGAGGCCGAACACCAGCACCACGCCCTTGTAGCCGTAGATGACGCCCAGCCACACCGTGTGCTTCTCGCTCTCGCAGTGCTCCAGCTCGGGCCGGATCTTGACGTCGTCGTCCGTGTTGGTGGGCTCCTCGAGCGGGAAGGTCTCGATGCGGCGCTGCAGCGGGTCGTACAGCTGCCAGGTCATGAGCAGCACCAGGTCGATGAGAAGCAGCCCCGTGACCATCGTGTACAGCTTCCACGGCTCGATCTTCTGCAACGAAACAACAGGAACATGGCATAAGTCTTTCATCATTTCGAGGTAGGTGAGTCCCGAGACACCCGAGTAAAGGACTAACCCCTGTCAAACTGACACTTAATCTAAATTTATGTAAAGGCATGCGCTAAAATGTTTGATACGTGATGACCCACCTTGGTGTCGGGCTTGTTGTGGGTGGTGAGCCTGTGGACGCGCCACACCTTGCTGAACATGGCGCCGTAGGCGAGGGTGAAGCCGATGGAGAGGAGCCAGACGCGCGCCTGGCAGACGAGCGGGTACACGCCGGGCGAGACGAACTGGCCGTCCAGCCCGAGCAGGAACACGCTCCACAGGCAGGTGATGACGCCCACCAGCATGATGGTGTTGCAGACCGGGTGCGAGGACTGGATGACGCGCCGGTGGCGGTGCCAGATGTTGAAGATGATGAGCCCGATGGCGCCCACGATGCCCAGGCTGGAGACGCTCCACATGCACATGAAGAGCGGCAGGGACAAGGTGCGCAGCACCCGCCGCACGATGGTGCGGTCCTGCGGCACCTTGCCTCCTGTGGGCAGGGCAATAACGGGTTCTGCGTGATTCTGGTATCCAGTCGAGGGGTATTTCACTATTCAGGCATTTACACATTTTTCTGACTTTTCTTGAATTTCCCTAATTTGGCTTTGTGTGATTTTCCGACTATCCTGATTTTCCTTATTTTTAAATTGATTTCATCTTGATTTCTCCGGATTTTTTGAAGCTTTCCCTTGATTTCTTTTGAGTGAAGTACCCCTCTTACTTAGTGCTACCACGCCACTCACCTATCCAACGCTCTCGGTTCATCCAGGTGAGGTTGTCGGCCTGCGTGTCGTAGTAGCCCAGCTTGACGTAGGTGCCGTTTATGACCTGTTCGATCTGGGTGAGCGCGATACGGTCGCCCTGCGAGCTGAAGGCCACGATGCCCGATACCCCCAGGAACTGCGTCGAGTTCATGGCACTGTAGATCTCGTCTGCGATCTCCTTGTTGTTGTACGTGAAGTTCTTGAGGGTTTTCCCGTGCTTCAGCAACTTGCTCATGGTCTTGTTGAAGGCTGTCGGATGAGGCAGAGCGGCCGGTCAAATCGGTGAGACACACACTCCCCCGCGTCTTTCCCTCCAAGTGATTTAATAGGGCCGTTCTCAGTTAAATTCAAAGGGTGTCGGTAGAGGACTCACCGAGCGCGACGGACCAGACGGCGTCGTAGGCGAGCGGGGCCTCCTGGTAACCCTCTGGATAGCGCTTGTGCTTGATGTCGTACTTCTCGCTCAGGGCGTCATTGAGCCGGAGACGGAAGTCCTCCGATGTCTGCGAACATAGAGACGGGGTAGTTGTGATTGTGCTTTAGAGCATCTAAATGACATCAACGAAGGTGTCAAACGGTGTCAAGCTCCTCACCATGCCGGAGATGGTGGCCTCCTTGTTCTGGTTCCACATGAGCGCCTCGGTGGTGAGATGGCCCTCGGCCGCCATGCGCATCTGCTCCACGGTGCAGTCGATGGACTCCTTTTCCAGGTTCTGCTCGAACCAATTGTCTTCGTACCAGCCTAAAAGGAATTGCGAGGCGTCTCCATATAAACGATTCCGACTTTGTTTTCTTTCTCACGAATCAGCCAAACCATTTCAAGGACTTAGGACTTACCTATGAAGAACCAGACGTATTGCTTGCCGTAGAGACCCTGCTTGTAGACCTCGCAGAGGACGCGGCGCGCCGCCACCACGTAGAAGAGCCCCACGATGATCCTGGCGTCCTGGCGGCGCAGGTTGCGCACCGCGTCGGCCGGCTCGCTGAGGAAGCTCTGGCGCGTGACGATCTCGATGTTGGCCAGCTTGCAGCGCGTCTCCAGGTCCTCCACCGTCGAGATGAACACCTCCTCGGCCTGCTGCAGGATGGCGACGCGCGACCAGCCGAACTTCTCCATGAGCTTGATGCGCGTCGGGTTGTGCACCGTGGCCGAGGGGTGCGTTCGGAACAGCGTCGGGAAGCGGTTGCGGTCCGACAGCGCGGGCGAGCTGGCCCCGTAGCAGAGCTGGCAACACACACCTCTGTTAAATCACGAGCTTCGACACGCCCCCTGCGATGACCTTTGTAAGTTTGGCTCACCACAACTAGGTTCCACATCTTGGCCGCCTCCGCCACGGTGGTGCAGACCGTGGAGCAGCCCGCCAGCAACATCAGCTTCTGGGGCATGTTGTAGACCAGGTTGTACATGACGGAGGCACCCAGGCCCGGCTCGCACTGAAACCAAATACACGAGTTAGCCACTACCGCACTTATTGTTCTATTGACATTTTTATTTTTTTAAAAGAGAATTGAAAACGCCACAACCGACAACGACTTACCTCGCTGTCATTCCAGTGAAGCTTAAGCTTAAATCCTGGCAAGAGGTCACGCCGGTTGTTGACGTCCTCGAGGGCGAGGTTGGCAGCGGGCTCACACGCCTGGCGACAAGCAACACCGTGAGTGAAATGTACTCTTCATTCGCTATTTAAAGTGCAGATAACTCGTCTCACCTGACCCCCCTGCCAACCACCTTCGCCCCCGATGGGGAAGATCCCCCCGATGTGCAGCACGTTGTCGTCATCCTGGTCGGCCAGCGCCGCCGGCCCCGCCCCCAAGATCAGCAGCAGCAGCAACAGGGGCAGCGGCGGCAGCGGCGCCGGCGCCCAGCGCTGTTGGCGAAGAAGAGCAAAACTGAGCAACGGCCGACTGAGAGCGCCTGCAGCGTAGGCAGGCCTGTCGAGCACGCGTGCGCTGCTCCCGAGGATTGCCTACCGCCCGGGCGCCATGACCGGCCGGGAGAGCGCCTGTCGAGCACGCGTGCGCCGCTCCCTGAGGATTGCCTACCGCCCGGGCGCCATGACCGGCCGGGAGAGCGCCTGCAGCGTAGGCAGGCCTGTCGAGCACGCGTGCGCTGCTCCCCGAGGATTGCCTACCGCCCGGGCGCCATGTCCGGCCGGGAGAGCGCCTGCGGCGTAGGCGGGCCTGTCGAGCACGCGTGCGCCGCTCGCCAGGAATTGCCTACCTTCCAGGTGTCACCGTCGTGCCCTACCCGGAGCATGGCGGCCATCTTGTCTCACTCCGCTGCGCCCTCCTCTGCGACGCAAGCAGCGGCGTGTGCCGACGTCCCGTGTCGCGCCACCGTGTCACCGACCACGCGAGAAGTACGCCGCAAGGACACGCACATGTTCGCCATCGCCCACCCCGCCAGCCCCCCTAAACCTCTACGTGCACGGGGGTGCTTCCTACAGTTTCACTTCAGTTCTCGTTAGTCTAAGGGGCTACCGCTCGGCGGCGCTGGTGGAGGGCCACCGCGGGGGTGTGGTCCGGGCGGGATGCTGCGACCCCTGCTCTCTCGCCCGGCCGGCGCGGCTCACCACGGCACGGCCCCCGCGAGGTTAGGCCCCCGCGAGGTCACGGCGCCAGGGGGCGCGGTGGGCGGGCGGCGCGTATCGATCAGGCCACCTCCTCCTCCCCCCCTCCCCCCCATTCCGCCGTCCTCCCTCTGGAAAAGAACCCCTACTCTCCCGAGGTGTTCATGGGGCTGGTACTCACCCGATGACTGGCCGCACCCCGGCCGCCCCCGCCGGCCTCTCCGCAGAAGATCGCCACCATCAGAACGGCCTTTGCCTCCTCGGACACCGCGGCCTCGGCCCGCGCCACGGCGGCCTCATCGTCGTCCTGTCGCCCGCACTCGGGCCGACGCGACCGCCTCGCCCCTCGGACCGCGCTCGACTCAGCCTCGGCACCGTGCGGCTCACCGTGCGGCGGGGGCCTCGCCCCCGGCCCCACCCCCTTCCCTCCCCCTGGAGCACTGGAGCGCCCCCTCCCCGGGACGTCAAAATTATAACCCAAGGCATAATTCGACCTGGGTCAGTTCGCACGAATGTATGATGCAGAACATGGCGTTAATGTCCCTCATCAAGTTGGATGATGAGCCAATCACCCAAACCGTAGAATACTGCCAACTAACCAATCGCTGATTCACTCATTATCTTTTCAACTAGCTCTAGAGAGAAAACGAGTCCCCAAAACTCGCGTTCCCCCCCC